GGGAACTACCTGCTTTTATTTATCTAAGTTTTACTAATAAAAATGCCTAGACAAGTCAAAGTTTGTAAATAGGTATCTCATTTGAGTCAGGCCTTATTATTCTAGGATTTAGCCATGATCAAAACTGACACAGTTCAGTCTTATACATGTTGTCCTTTCAACTTCCATTGCTTGTCCTTTGCCAGCAGGTAGTGAGAGCCCACAGCTTGGCCAGCTTGGCCCTGGAACAACCCACAATGTCCCTGCAGAAGTCCATGGTCATGTTCTGGGAAAAAGCACTAGCACATTTTATCCTGTATACTTCAGGGCCCTGAAGCAGGCAATGGACTTGTACATCTGTAGGGTCTGAGGACAAAAGGCTTTCTCCTAGGACAAATACAATGTGTCTTTACAGACAAAGAGACTAATTAGAATTTGGTCCTAACAACTTCCCCTTCCCTCTTTTTGAGTCAGATGCTATTTAATAGAAATCAGGAACTTAGCCTTTCAAAAACCTCAAAATCCAATTAAATTTAGTCATAGTGCTTCAAGGACTGAATTTAGCTAGTTAACGGGTCAGCTCTAATGGATTGTTCAAGGGAAATCCTAGACTGCATTATTTTTGGCTTTACGGAAAACTTTTCTGGTGACATCCTTAGTAGGAGATAAAAGGACACTGAGGAAATGTCACACACAAGATCACCTGCAAATGGATAGAAATGAAAAGCACCTCCTTGGATTCCAGCATTTGTCTTTATTTATTTATTTATTTATTTATTTATTTTTGGTACTTTAAGATTTTCTCCCTCTTTGGTTCATTTTTGGTGCTTTGTTATAACATCATTTAAAGGGGAAGAGTGATTTGTCAGCCCCATTGCTGTATGTAGAATTGTCAACTGCAAGCAAGCAAAAATTTGCCAAGTTAGGTCTAAACAATAGGGGGTCTTTTTGTATCTGCCTTCTGGGTTTTGACTCTCTATAAGTCCAGTATTCAAGCTTTATCTGCATCTTTGAGCACTAAACATTTAGGCCCAAGTCCAATTCCCCTTTAGAGAGGGTGTGCAGCATTTATGGGCATCTTTACACGTCCTCACATGACAGGGCTTTCCTCTGTTTTTGTGAGATTTACTTGCCTTCCCCAGGAGAATAGGAATGCCACCTGTACATAGTGAGATTACTGCAGCTGTGGTCTTGCCTTCCCCAGGAGAATAGGAATGCCACCTGTACATAGTGAGATTACTGCAGCTGTGGTCTCCCAGCTTCAGGGGGATGTGGAGCCCCCCCTAGTGGCTGAGAGATCCCAGCTGCTGCAATCTCCCAGCCCTGGGAGTGCACAGTATGTCCCCATAGCTGAGAGATTGCAGCAGCTGCAGTCTCTGAGTCCCAGGGGCACGGCATCCACCCCCAGGGCTGGGAGATCACAGCTTCACTCCTCAGCTCCCAAGGCTCAGTGTCCACAGCTGTGCAGTGCTCAATCGTGGCACCATGGGGTACTGCTGGGACCCAGCATGCTCAACTGGAGGACTCTGGGTCCTAGCAGCTGTGGAGTATTGCTGGAACCAGAGTCTGCACTTGCTGGGTGCTGCCAGGACTGAAAGGCCCACAGCTGACAGAGCTCCCAGCTACAGGGGACACCTTGCTACTGTGAAAATGAAAACTGGATAGTAACCAGATATAAATTTAGTACACATTTTCAAGGTCTAACTTTCTAGCTGGTTGGACCTTTTTATGGCATGATAGCTACTTTGCATGTATAGCTGATCTTAGTTAATTGCAAAATTAACCAGTTAATTGCATAATACCTGTGACATGTAGAGGGGGGCTAATATTTGCATACCTGGCCCAAAAGGTCACTTGTACAGCTACTTTGAGTTGTGTATGTGCTTTGTAACCATCTAAAGGCAGAGTTGAATTTGGGGATTACTTTTTTTTAATGAAAGCTGAGATTTTTTTTGTAATTGCTCACCAGTTTTTTTTTTAAGGGAAGATACAGACTATGGTGAAATTTATCATAAAATCATTAGAATTGGTAACACTGGGCAAATCTACACATTAAATTAATTCAACTCAATAAACTCCAGTGCAATTTGTGTTTGAGTTTATTTTTCCAAGGCAAAATATTTGCATGTGCACCCAGGACTGCAATATGTTGAACCAGGGCAGAGCAGCTGTGGCTGGCAGAGGGCCTCAGGGGTCAGCCTGCCAGTCCAGGCTCAATGTGCTGCACAGGGGCTGGCTGGGGCATGAGGGTGCTCCAGTGCAGGGCCAGCTGCCAGGCAGCCCCCACACTGAAGCACCCTTGTGCTCCAGCCAGCCAGGGCAATGTCTACACGTGCACTGCTGCAAAGCGAAAAAACTCCATGGC